CCATGACGCAGCTGCAGCAGTGGGTGAACTCCCGCCGTGGGAACGTGCCCCCCGAGGAGCTGCGCAGGTGAGACCCCGCTCCCCTCCGCTGGGCTTGTCCTTTGGGTGGTGCTCTGGGAATGTTCTTACCCTTCCCGCCCGCTTCCTGCCCTCCCGGGGTCAGGAGATCTCCCTTCTGGCTCTCCTTTCTCTCCCTGTGCCGGCTCTGAGCTGTGTAGGTGGTGCCCTGAGGAGTCATGCAGGGTGGATTTTGGGGAGGTGGATTTTTGGAGGTCCCTGGGAGGAGGGATGCCAGGAGCAGAGGCCACCACGGTCTCCCTGGAAGGAGGGGTACAAGGAGAGGAGGCCACCACAGGATCTCTGGGAAGAGGAATACCAGGAGGAGAGGCCACCATGGGATCCCTGGAAGGAGGAATGCCAGGAGGGGAGGCCACCATGGGATCCTTGGAAGAGGGATGCCAGGAGGGGTGGGCACCTTGCAGTCCCTGGGAGGAGGGCTTCCAACCAGCCAGCTTTTCAGACACCAGTGTTGGAGCTGCCTGCTCCGAGTCTGCCCATGCCCCCCGGACCCCAGGCACTGCCTGCCCTCCAGCCTGGCTCTCACAACCCTCTTCCCCACTCCAGCCCCACCAGGTTTTACCCCGTGCCTCGCCGAGTGCCCGACTACTATTCCCCCTACTCGCCGCAGTACCCCGAGGAGTACCAGTACTACCCCGCGGGGGTGCGCCCCGACAGCATCTGCTCCATGCCCGCCTTCGACCGCGTGAGCCCGCCCTGGGCGCTGGAGGACAAGCGCCACTCCTTCCGCAACGGGGGCACCTTCCAGCTGCGGGACTGGAAGGACCCGGCCGGGTTCGGCCGGCAGGACGTGCCGCTGTGGCTGCCGGCCCCCGGGAGGCAGCCACCCTACCTGGACGAGGTGGACGCGGCCTCGGGCTCCCTGCGGAGGATGTCGCTGCAGCCGCGGTCCCGCTCGGTGCCGCGCTCGCCCAGCCAGGGCTCCTACAGCCGGCCGCGGGTGTACTCGCCCGTGCGCTCGCCCAGCGCCCACTTCGAGCGGCTCCCGCCCCGCGGCGACGAGATCTACGCCGACCCCACGCCCTTCATGATGAGGCGGTCCATCAGCTCGCCCAAGGTGAGCGCCCGCAGGGACGGAGGGGGACCCTTGCCGGGGAGGGCAGGGCAGGGCAGGGGGGCTGCGGCACGGCGTGTCCCCTCTGCGTGCACAGCCTGGCCTCAAAGGGCCACCTTGCAGCAGCTGGTGGCTCTGGGGACCCCCCTGGTGATCCTGCAGAGCTGCCCTGGCTGTGGTTGTTCCAGAGGAATGGATGGATGGATGGGGTGGGGTGCTCAGGGCCACCATGGGTGATGTGCTCCCAAGCAGGGAGTGCTGGTGTCCCTGTCCCAAAGCCAGGCCTGACCCTGCTGGGGGCCGGGGTCTGTCCTGTCCTGTGCTTTCTGGCTCTCACACGCCTCTCACGTGTCTCTGATTTTGGGGTGGGGTCTCCTCTCTTCACAGTACGACTACCTGGGTGACAGGCGGCCCGTCCCCCCCGGAGTGTATCCGTACCACTTCCCGGCATCCCCCACCATCCACGACAAAATGGTACGTGCGCTGCCGGCCCGGGGAGGGGGGGGGTGTCAGTTTGGGGGTTCCCCACTCAGATGGCCAAGGAGGAACCACTGCACTCCAGGGGCAGCTTTGTGGGTCACAGCTGGGCTGCTCTGGGCCAGGTCGGGACTGCAGGTCCTTTTACTGGTCCCTCCTGGCCATTCCCAAAGGAAATCCATGTGGAAGGGCCCCTGGCCCCCACTCTGCAGCAGTAGGATGCCCTTGGACCCCCGTCTTCCCCAGGGTGGTCCCTGCCTGAGGCCGGTGCACCCCCTGCCTCTCCCCCTCTGCTTCCTCCCTTCTGGCGACGGCTGCTGCGTTTTCCTGCGTTGTTTCCTCTCGGAGGGGCCGGAGCTGGTGGGGTGGCACCGAGAGGTCCCCCTGCAGAACACGACCCCAAAACCACGGGGCAGGACCATCGGAGGAGGGAGAAGCCTGAGCTACCATAAGCCACCCATGCTGCCATCCATCCTCGTAGCCGCGGGGAGACCGGGGTCCGCAGGGCACGGCCAGGGCGGCGTTCCCGGCTCTGTGCCCCGGAGGTGCCTCGTTTCCCAGCCAGGAGGCCTTTCCATAGCCCTCACCTAACTGCTTTTGCTTCTTCTCTTATATGTTTTGCCCTTCGTTTCTTGCCGCGTGCCTGCTGGCTCCTGGTAGGATGAACTTTTAGACCTTCAGTTGCAAAGAAACCTAGAGTATTTGGACCAGCAGGTAGGCAGAGCTGGCTGCCAGCCCCACCTCACCTGCTGCTTTAGTCCCCTCGTGCCCCCCCGTCCCCAGCAGCTTTCCCCTTCCCTCCCGGCGCAGCATCTCGTCCATCCATCCATCCATCCTCACCCTTCTTGGCATTCCAGCAGCACGAGTTGGTCTTTGGTTTGCTTCTTCCATCCTCCCCATCCGTAGGGTCGCTCATTGCTTGGCAGAAAGTCCCTCCTGACAGTGCCTCTGTGTGGTGTGCTGGAGATGGGGGGGTGTGGGGGGGCCGGGGCAGCTTCCTACATTCCCGGGGTCTCGGGGAGCTGCCCTGGGGTCCAGGGGGTGCAGCGGCTCTGAAACCCCCCAGGTCAGTGCTGGACATGTGCACGGTGCCAGCGTGGCTGTGCTGGAGGGTGTGGGGTCCCAGGGCTGGTGTCCCCCGTGCAGGGGGTGGCCAGGTGACCCCTGGGGACTGTGGTTTTGGTGACGTGGTGGCCCCGTTCCTCCTCGGAGGTGAAAAGTTTGATGCAGGTGGGCGTGAGGGGCTCACCGGGTCTGACACCAAAGCACTCGGGTTTTTGGAGCAAAACGGTGAACTGACTTCATCCCAGGAGCATGGGGAGGGAATACAGCCGGGAGACACCCCCAGGAATGTGTCCAGGCAGGGGCTGCAGCCAGAGCTGGGGACAGGAGCTGCGGGGCAGTGCTGCAGCCCAGGCTGGCACTGAGGGAGCTCTCCAGAGACAATCTCATTAGCCTGCAAATCTCCACCGGTGCAGCAATCGCCACGATCTGTGTCTGCCTTGGAGCAGGGCCAGGGCCAGGCAGGAGCACTCGCTGCAATAAAAGCTCTCTGGGCTGTTTCGCAGCCACCGGCAGCATCGCTGCCTCTCCCGGCTCTTTAAACCACTCCCTGAAAAGGCTCTGCGTCTCCTCCTCCTCCTCTCCCGCCGACCTGTGGAGAGACTAATTGGGAGTGACGCTGTCAAGTGTCTCTTTTCAAACATCTTGCTGCTTTATTTTCTCTCTCCTTGCTCGTCCAGCCGCGGGCGCGGCTCCCTCGGCTGCCCCCAGTCAGGGTTCAGTCCCTGGTTTGTGCTCAAAGTGCCATCACCCCTTGGATCTTGGGGTTCCTGGGCATTGTCTGCTCAGGGCTGTGGGCTCCTGCAGCACTTCTGTGGGCAGAGGCAGTGGTAGAACTCTGGTGCTGGTGACCTGAGTGGCCCCATCACCCGGTTCCGAGGGAGCCGTGGTCACCGCCGGCTGTGCACCCCAGGAACCCCTGGCTGGGGTCTGTCCTGCCCCCCTGGAGGGCTCGGCTGCAGCTCTGGGGGGGCACAGGGATGCCAAACCCATCACATCCGTGCCTGGCAGCACGGCCTCAGTGTGCCACCTCCCAGTTCCACCCTGCTGGAGGCTCTGCTGGGCTGGACAAGGGGACGCCGCTGTCCCCACGCCCGGCTGTCAGTCACCTCCCCGATGCCATCACAGCCCTGGCTGGGCACAGAGCCACCAGCCAGCGTGAGAGCAGGGTCTGTGTGTCCGTCTGTGTGCTGGGACCCGCTGTGCTGCCGCCGTGGCGTCTCTGTCCGAGCCCGTGTCTGTCTGTGCCGTTTGCAGCTCCGAGCCGGCTCCGGTTTATCTGTGCTTTCCCCTCACCAGAGCATTCAGGGCGCTCAGCCAGCCCTGGGCAAACCCAGTGGAGCAGCAGCAGCCCGGGGGGGGCCGTCCCCACGTGTCTCCAGCCCCTAGGACATCTCAGGAGGTGGCACTTCACGTCCCGAGGGCCCCCGGAGCGATGCGCGCGGCTGGGGCGGCGGCGCGGGCGCGTCTCCGCTGGACCTGTGCCCCTTTCCTTCCCTGTGTGCCGGCAGATGAGCGAGAGCTAAGGACCAGAAAACCCTGATCGTATGGGTCAATCAGGATGGTGGAGACCCTCCCTACCCCTAGGGCCAGCTCTACATGCAAGTAAGTGCTCGGGCCCGCCGGCCCCGCGTGCTCGTGCCCAGGCCTGCGGGTCGGGCCGTGGCCCCCGCGCGCCATCCGGGGTCACCTCCACCAACGAACCACTGACATGCAGACCCGGCATCCACGCGGCGCATCACCCCCCTCGAGGGCCTGCTAGTCCATCCCAGGCTTTGCTAATCCATCCATGAGCCATTGAAATCCGGCAAATCCTCGCGCCGGGCGAGAGCGCGAGGCGGGGCCGCGGCGGTGCTGGACTCTCATCCTCGTTCGGGCTGCGCTCGGGGCTTGGCTCATCCTTGTTTTGCCATCTGATGAGGCAAGGAGGAGGTGTGGGATGATTGCAGACAGGAATCCAGCCCGAGGCTCTTAAACCAACGCAATAACTCCTGCAACGGGGAGAGGAAACAGCCTTTTACCCCCGGAGGCTCTGGCTCCTTCTGTTCCCAGCATCAGGATGTTCCTGCTGGTGTTGGGTTGCAGCTCCCAGCACAGGCAGGTCCCATCACTTGTACCCACCGTGCCACCCACCCCGGGCAGGGGGTCTCGGGGCCCCGCTGTGCTGCCCAGGGCACCTTCTGGCCGTGCCAGCAGCCCAGAGATCGCTGGGATTTTCCAACAAAAAAGGCTCCTGTTTCCATCTGCTGTGAGCAGGGATGTGCTGGAGGGTGAAACCGGAGCCCCTGGGATGCTCTTGCTGGCTGGGCTCCCTGCCCGGAGGCAGCAGCATCCCAATCCACCAGGCTCTGCCTCCAGCCCCGCTGGCACTTCCCAGATTCAGGTCCCTTTGCATTATCCTGTAGTTTAAATGGCTCTAAAGTAGCATCTTGCTTTCTAGCAATAATGATCCCCTTCTTCCTATCTTCTGCCTTTCATCTCCAGATCTTGGAGGCATTTAATTGCTGAGGTCCCATTAGTAATTTAGATTTCCAGGAAAGGAAAGTGACTCATGGAGGAGCCAGTGGTGGTAAACAGGCCCTGCTGCAGCTGCTGATTTATAGGTGTTTCCACTCTGCTAAGTGGAATTACAGCTCAATCTCGCTGCCTTTGTTTCCCTGCCTCTGGAATGGTGGCAGTTAATGATTCACGAGGCATCTCTTTAGCTCAGTCCTTGGCTCCTGTGGAGAGGCTGTGTCTGGATAATTCCAGTGGCTCACCAGCTGATGGGCAGGGAGGTTGTGACTTCATCCATGTCCAGCACTGACATCCCAGTGCCTCCCAATCGATGGGGAGCACCCACCACCTCCAGGACTCGGCTCTTCCCTCTCTTTCCCCGCTCACAGGGATGGGAGAGAGGGGCTGGGAGCTGCCTCCCCTTCCCTGGGGATCCCAGGGCCGGGCTCACCCCACGCTCTGCTTGCAGGTGACGCCCTTCCCGGAGGCCTACAGGGACACTCTGCATCCCTACAAGATAAGCGAGCAAGACACCGATGTAAGAACAAATGTCTGTCCTGTGTGGCCCCCCTGTCCCCCCCCCAGCAGCCCTGATGTCCTCATGGAGAGAGCTCTGCCCTGTGCTCCCACAGCTGGGAGCTGCCCCCAGTTTGGTTTGTGCTCCTCAGGGAACAAATCCTTCATCTCCCAGTTTGTCCCGTGCCACCCTGGCTGGGGGTGAAGCCCGTGCAATGAGAGCAGGAGGCTGGAAACCCCCCCCAAGGCCACACATCCCACCAACCCAACCCCGTGGGGCGTGTCCTGCCTGTGTCCTGCCTCTCCCAGCTGGGAGACCGTGCTGGACCCTCACCCTCCTCATCCTTTCCCCCCTCTCTCTTTCCCTCCCGGCACAGAAGCTGCTGGGGAAGCTCTGTGAGCAGAACAAGGTGCTGCGGGAGCAGGAGAGGCTGGTGCAGCAGC